GAATTAGTTATAGAATAATTGTAGAATAACTAACAGATCTAATTATTCTAAGTGGATGAAAGATAAGCTACAAAGAAGGCAAGGGTTTAAGAATTGATGTGCCATTTAAACCACGAATTGCAGAAGGGATAAAGGATTTGGAGGATTAGTTTTGCAAGATTAGTTTTTACAAGAAAAAAGCCACTAGTAAGAACATGTTCAATGGACAATATACTTCATAGGTTTTGTTGGTTACAAAACCCAAATTGTTTTCCTTCAAGCTCCGGTTATCTTGGAACAGATTTGGACAATTTTATTCAAACTGTTTCTATCTTTTACTGTGAGACTGTGAAACCAGCAGATAAAGGAGAAACAGATGGAGGTTTTTAACAAAAGACTGAAATAAACAACAATATGCAAGGCTGACAGCACAGGAACGTATTTTGCTGAGCAGGGGAATTCTCTGCTGCCTTCATTTCATTGTATTTTATATAAGCATCAGTATGTTTATACTCAACATACACTTAACTCTTGCAAGCTTCGATATTTCTAGATTAAAGAATCCTCTGTTATATTATAAGTTCATTTTTGTTTCTTGTAGTAAATCGTAATTTTAACAGCACTCACCAAGCACGTCTTGGCTTCACTGAGCAGCAGCGAATCCTTCTTCAAAATGCTGGAGGCCACAGTGAAGTCTGCACCACCAACTGCAGAAATGTATGACCTGCAGTTGGCTTTCTTGACATCTTTTTTGCTGTAATAATTACATATAAAGATTGGAATCAATCGATAAACAAACAATAAAAAGTAACAAATATACATTGTTCACTTTACTTGTGTCATCTTATAAGGTCAGAGGAAAAAGATGCTCAGAGAGACTTACTTTAAGTACAGAAGCATGTCAGAAGGATAATCTTCGAATTTCTGGGAGATGTCTCCATTGAGCAGGTTGTACATGCAAGTCAGCTGTAGAAAATGATGAGAAAACATAGACCATAACGAACTGCTACACAAGTTGTAAACAAATACATAACACAACACACAATTTTTGTATTGTACATCCAATTTATTTAGTTAACTACAGATAAAGAGCCATATAATTGTAATTCAAGTTGAACAGTTTAGTTTAACATAAATTTCATTTGACTTTACCTGTGATTCCTTCAGCACCACTTTGGCCCTGCGCTTCCTTGGTCTGCAGGCACGGACCAGGTCCCGGATCTTTTTTTTCTCCATTTTCTGCGCTGAAGTACATGTGAAGCCCTGCAGCATGGATGGAGAAAGCCTGTGGAGAGAGAGAGTGGAAAACCACAAAGAAAGTTAAATGGCATGGAATACATTTGCGGCGAAAAATAATTTATAAAAAAAAATCACTCAAAAAAATAAATAGTTGACTTGGCTGGTTCACTTACTGCTCTGTGTCAAAGCTTGCTGTACCCAGTGTCCCAAAGAACAGGGCAGCCTAGAAGAACACAATAAACAGAACTATTCAATGTCAGTTACAGATACATATGGGTGAGACAACACACACAAGACATGGGTTTTACCTAATGTCAACTTTCAATAGCTTTACCTGATAGTGCTAGGAGTCAGATACTTTCAGCATTTACTGTGTACTTTGAAGCTGACCTCATTCCATCTTATACCTTATTTCACGCCTGGAGCACTAAGTAAATGTCACAGGAGGTTTGTAGGTTGTTGATAAGTATCTCCAGTAATCAACTGATAATCCCAAAATAATTGGATTTATCTCGATTGAAATTTTGGAGTCACATTATATGCTAATTGATCTGTTGATTCCAAAACTTTTTGATCCACAGCAGTCTTGTTTCAAGGCAGACCACTCAACCGAGACTGCCCTCCTTGCTGTCACTGAGCAACTTCACACTGCTTGAGCAGCCTCTCTCTCTTCTGTGGTCATCCTTCTAGACCAGTGGTGTCAAACTCAATCACAGAGAGGGCCAAAATTAAAAACTTGGACTACGTCGAGGGCCAAACAGGGTCAACATGTATTGAACAGGATAGACAGGATATTGGATAAAGTGCAAAAAGAAAACACATTTAGGTCGGCTACATTCTTCTTCTAGTTTTTTTTTAGCCAGTTCATGAATGTTTGGGGTTATGTTCTTTGCTGTTGAAACCGTCAAGATGGAGTGAAGGTGTTAATTTAATTTTTGAAGGTGTTGAATTCACTAACACCATATACTCAGCAAGTGAGGAGGGGCACTCGTTCTGTGTGCGTCTAGCCAGGCATTGCGCACCGTGGCTCAGCCATTGGAGCCTGTGCATGCCGCCTGGCTCTCCGGCCAGAGTGAGATAGAGAGATAGATAAGCCTAAGAGACACGGTGAACTTGCCGGGACAGGCCCTGGGATCTCTGGAACGCTGGAAAAATATATATCAACAAATGCTCGGCTATGAGTGGAGAGGAGCGCTCGCTCCTGGCTGGTTTGCCTGCTAGCACCATCTTACCTCTGCAGCTCATCCAGAATGTAGCAGCTTGACTGGTCTTCAACCTACCTAAGTTCTCTTACACTACACCGCTCCTCCGCTCACTTCACTGGTTACCATTGGCTGCCCACATCCGCTTCAAGACACTAGTCCTTGCAGCGAACAGATCAGGTCCAGTCTACATCCAGGACATTGTTAAACCTTACACCCCAGCCTGCCACTCTACTCTGCATCGGCCAATCAGCTTGCTGCTCCCTCACTGTGAGGAACATCTAGCCACTCAACAAAATCATGACTGTTTGATTTCCTGGCTCCCGAATGGTGGAATGAGCTCTTCATTGGCATCAGGACAGCAGAAAGTCTGCAGGCTTAAAACACATCTCTTTGTAGTTTGGCTTTTTTTAAAGCTAATTGTACTTACATAATTTTTGCTGTTATGGGTTTGTACCCTCATGGTTGATGCGATTGAATGTAAGTGGCTAATGATATGTAACTTCTGTGAAAAACATAATCCATTTAATTTCTGTCATCTATCTGTGACCTCAGTCTAAACATATTTGCATTCAATTTTAAAAACCTTCACTTCATTCTCCTCTGTGTAAAACGATTCACTGACCTGATCAGGTTTCCATGTCTTTCTGTTCATCACATTGATGTTCACAGTCTTCTCAGTAAACGTCAGCAGAGATGGTGCGATCTCAGTTGCCATGGCATCTGGGACATTCAGCACCACTTTGGCAGGACTTGTGTCCACGGAGACAATCTACCAGAAAATGACATGCATTGAAAACCAAGATCATAACTCAAAATGGCTGAGGTTGAACTGAACCACATTTTTCTTTATACAGTTGATGAATGTTATTTTCTATTTAAAATTGGTGTATATAGAAAGGACTCAACACAACATGGTTGTATTTAACATGCTACCATTAAATTTGTCAGTGCATCCTTACGTTTACCAACATATGCAATGAAATTTACTATTTCAACTGAAGTGCAGAGTTTACATTGGCTCACAAGGCTCTAACATGTATATAACAATAACAAAATAAATGAATAATAAATAAAAGAGTGTTAGAGTGTAAAAGCCTGTTGTGAAGTTTTTTGTGAAATACGTCTCTGGACACAAATAAGCACACATCAAAATTACACATACAAATGTAGAAATATGAAAAGAGAAACATGCAGAGGTGGTCCCGAGTAGTGTCTGCATGGGGATTCAGAGAAGAGAGGATCACCCTGTCATTCTCATGAATGTACTCTGATAACACATATAAGCACCCTGGTATCAAAGGTGTTGTTAACATACTTAGATATCATGTTGTCTGTGCTCCCCTGAGCCTAAAATTAACACCCAAAGTCTCAGCCTCAGATGGTTAAGATCTCAACTTGAGAATCATGAATGACAGAACTGTATCTTGCAAACTGACACTGTACCTTTTTGACAAAGGTCTGTTGGACAACGACAGGGGCTGCCAGCATGCTGGAAACAAAGGCGGGGCTCTGGGAGATGCTGAGTAGCTCAGAAGCTGGAACTGCGTCTATTGACTCCGATGGAACTCCGCTAACAAGAGCACCAAGAGATTCCATGGAGGATCCACTTGTGATCTGTTTAATACATTTATACAAACATTAATACATATGCGTATATGCAAAGCATTAAATTGTTATTTTGTGTTTTTTACTCAACCAAAACCGGTTTTGATTTTGAGCTTTGTTAAGAATAGTGCCCTCACCTGGAAGCCTCCTACACTCATGGTCCGGATGATAACACTGGCTTGGACTGTGCTCCAAGTGTCAACTTTGCTCAGCATAGATAAAGAGGAAATCAGCACTGCTGGGTCAATCGAAGAAATCTTGCTGATGGTCAGGGCTGCACTGGCACTGCCGAGTGTCGCAAATGTTGCGGGTGTGATGGTCTTAATGTTGGATGCCAGAGCAGTAGACGCCTACAGAATCAAATGAGGACATTTAAGTGTTTTATAGTTTGATTGTTGTGTGAGAAGAATCCTGGACAGCCTTTTCAAAGCATTGTCAGAGAGGCATGGAGCAAAGGTAGAATTTAACACATTTAAATAATAAACAAGCTTGAAAATGAAAACTTGCATGCATTTACTTGCATACTTGCATTAATTAGAAACTGTTTCTTTAAACATAATTCTCTTTACATTTAAAGCTGTTTTTCAGACACAAGCTCATGTCTTTTACACATGAAGAACACAGCAGGAGGTTCTCCACTTCACAAGAACACTGAAAGCTTCGGAGCGTTCAGGTGAGAGGTGGTGCTGCAGGCAGGGGCAGAACGTATTGTATTAATTCCATTTCTGTGAAGATAATGTGTTTTGGTTTCAGTACATCAACAGTGATTTGTAACCAACTGGTCTCTTGACATCTTCGTCTGTGTCTTCCAAGTGTATGGCTATGCTTTTTCTGAGATTTAAAAAAAAAAAGATTTTTGTGCCTAGAAACGCAGTGAATCTTTCCAAGGATCTCCTGATGTGTTCTCACAATGACTCATTTGGAGTTTTGTTTTGGGCTGGTAGGAGAAACTTCTGAGAAAGTCCGGAGCTTCTCAAATACAGCCCCTCCAGGCGTGGACATGTCATTCCATCATCGTGCAAACACACATCTCATTCATGCTTGTACACTGTAAACCTGATTCAGCAGATCAAATTGATTTAAATTGCGGTAGCTTTGGCTGAGGGGTATAGCGAAGTCGTCCTCCAACCAAAAGCTCCCTGTCTTCCCCATCTGCCTGATAAAGTGTCCTTGGGCAAGTTACTGAACCCCAAATGGCCCCTCATAGAAAAAGTGCAGCACATAGATGCATTGTATGAATGCGTGTGTGAATGAGTGAATGGCAAAACTGTACTGGAAAACGCTTTGAGGGATCATCAAGACACTATAAATACAGACCACTGACCATTTTTTAAATATAAATACAAATTTCAAACCCCAGAACGATTTGATTTATATTGTGTTCGTGTGTTATTTTTGTGTTGTATCCTTAAAAAGCATTTTTTTAAATTTAAACTTTATTTCTGAAGAATCATTAAGAGCTGGTACCTCAGGGTTCACTGTTGTATTGCAGAATGTCGCCATCTCTTTCAAGACAAGTAAGGTGTCATTTTCAGTCACAGAAGTGTACGCTGCACTTGGGAGCTCATTGGAACACAGAAAAGCTCCTGGAAGCCTGAATGGTAAACAAATACAATATCTATGTATCCAAATATCCATATACATTTTTTGACGTATTGTGTAAAATGTTGTTGTGTTGATACTTACTGCACAAGGCTGAAGGTTGGGTTGAATTCAAATAGCTGTGAGACATAATAGTCGGTCACATTTTCTGGGATGGCTGTGTTATTGAAGAGTTCCAGGTTGGCTCGGTCCTCCAAGAACACTTTAGCCTTAAATAATCATAGCAATGAAGAAGTTGTTTTATTTCTTAAAGAGGCGTTTTTTCTCAGTTCATCTAAAATAATATAATCATACGATGGAAATATGTTCAAACAAAAACAGATTATGAAAGCTGTGGCTAGTCAAATTAAATTAACTGTATTTATCAATATGGAGTTGAGGTTAAAGTATAAATTTTAAGACTGTGCCAGGATATGGTGGAGGGCACAAAGCTAACACTATGTTGCTGATGCTTGACATACTTGACTGGAGGAGATGAAGGTGGCCAAATTGTCGGGAGTGATGAATGTCACAAAGCTGCCAATGTAACTGACAAACCAGGAGGTTGAGTTGAGTTCTGGATCATTGGCATCGTAGCATCTGGGTCCAGAACCTATGAAAACGAGGGGAAATAATAATAAATGCATAGACAGTAAATTCATTACTATATTGGTACAATAATAAAAGATAGGTTCTCAGAATAAGGAAGCATTTTTCTGACATATTGTTGAAGGACATTTAATATAAACATCCAATTATCTGAGTCTAATTCACTACATCCCTTAAGCCTGTTTCAGAGATCAACTTGCCTCACATATGAAAAAAACGCGGCAGGAGATTGTTTGGGTCAGACACGTTCACAACAAGAGCATAATGTCATAATGAGAGTTCAGGTGAGGGGTGGCTCTAGAGCACCGCACGCAGGAGGCAGGACGTGACGTATACATTTCGCTACAGAAATAATTTGTTTCTGCTTCTACGTGTACAGCATCTCTTTTTTCATCCTGAGATATTTGTATTATTTGTGTTTTTTTCAGTCTTGCATCCACTGCGTGTTAGAAATGTGATCAACATGCCCACTCGCTCACAATGAATTTTCCGGACATAGTCCTGTTGTAGCATACCAAGAGCTCATTGAGACATTATCCACAGTTTTTACTTGGGGACTGGCAGGACAAATGCAAATGTCCACAGCAAGTAACTCAGACATTTGCGTTGTCTCATACAGCCCCTTCAGAGAATGTCAGGAGAAGGTCCGGAGTTCAGTACATGTCTGAAAGCAGTTTCAGTGTTATTTTGAAAAGTTACGCTATTTGCCCACATTATTTTATAGATCTGGGTGAAACTTCCCCTCGACCACCACTACTAACACAAAGTCAAAAACTGTACAAGTACTGAGTTCAAGGACCAATAATATAAGGTTGATAAAGATAGAATTCCTTGAATTTTACCTACCAGAGCTCAAGTAGGTCTTAATGGTGGTGTAAACATCAGCCTGTCCAAAGTCAGAGCTGTTGTATGTGAAGTTAGTTCCCATTACAGAGACCCTAATTAAGAGGGAAAACACACAAATGTTTATGTCATTGATCTGTATCTGTCCATCTGGGAGTGACATTGTGAAAAGGAAGCTTACAGTTTCTGGAAGGCAACACATGTAGCATTCTGCACTTCAGTGGGGCTGATGAGTCTCTTGTTCAGGAACTTAAGATAGTTCCTCAACCGATGGTCGAACCAGGATGTAACCTCAGATCTGGTGTTGCTGCTCAGGGCCAAAGGCCAGACACAGGGGAGAGTCACCATCTTCACATTGTCTGGAACATCCTCCTAGCATCATAGACAAGTTTTAATGAGAGACTGCATTGTAAAACAAATCATTTAAGACTTGTGATAAAATAATATATCGTATGAAGCATAGTTTAAGCTCAAGCAGAGCACTGAAATGACGTGTATTGGCTGACAAGCTTCAGCCATTTGCTGTGTGCTTATTTGATGATTTTCTGATTTGTTGCCGACATTATCACCTGAAACTTCCTCACTGTTACTGAACGGCACACCAGCCTCGTGGTTTGTCACATCCTGAGGAGACCCCAATGACCCACAAGATGTACAATGTACGGCTATGTACAACTAATGGAGATGCCATCACATGGCTTTTCTGTCAACTGAAATATAAAGGGGCTTTGAATTTGTTGTGGGAGGTGTCGAGGTTTTATTAATTTAATGCAGTAAATTCAAATGGGCAAATGGGAACAGATCAGGATGAGGCTTCCTACTGAAATCTGACCGATTACACTTCTTATTCCCTCGAACAGGCAAATAAGACCTTCTTCCTCCTGTCATTAAAGTATACAATGGCACTTCCTATCTAAGGAAATACGTGTCCTTGAATAAGAGGTTCTCTGTTTTGGACTAAATCTCTGATATATGTCAAGACTAGAATTAAATATTCTCCATGTATCAACATGTGAAAGTGGTATTTCAACTTTCAGACAAGGGTCTTACATTTTCTAGGAAGGAAGGAGTGTTGTTGTAGTTGTTGAAAATGACACAGATGTCAGAGTTGTTGTCAATCATATTGGGTTGACTGAGGAGCTGATTCAGCTCTGAGGTGTTGATGGTACTTAGGAGCTGAAACACAAAGAAAGGGGGGAAATTAATAAATAAAATAATTGGAATACTCAGAAAAACATTTTGAAATTACTACTGTATTACCCCCTGGGACAAACACATCATGAAAAGGAATTTGGTGAAAACGTATTAACCCCACTGTTGAAAAGAATATCCGCAATCTGTGTGAATTTATAGATGGATTCTATTATATCACCTCTGATTCACGTGTTGCTGGCAGAAGAGATGTGAACGTGGACACATCTGGGAATCCAAAGCTGCGGAATGTGTCTTTCAGATAGATGTACAAGCTTCCACCATTGTAACATTTCAGAGGTGTTGGACCTGCATTAAAAAAATACACCACAACAGTACATACATAATGGTAAATGCCGTACATAATTTTCTACATTCTACAAGATTATTTATAAAAAGATCTTTTATACAGACCTTGGAGGAAGAGGAGGGTATTTTTGAAGATTTCCCTTTTTGTGTTGTTCCGAAGTGTCGAGTGTAGCGTGTCCAACAGTGTGATGCTAGATTCAGATGAATATTAGTCAGAAATAAGTCAACAATCAGATCACATCACAATGACAATCACGACCACCACAGACACACTTACATCTCTTGGCTGCTATTACAACTCCTGTTCTTCCCAATGTCAAATAAAGGTGTCACCAGGCTGGGAGAGAGGTCAACCAGGAGAGGGCGCAGGCGAACCCTGAGCCACAGCAGGAACTCTGTGTCCTTTATTGCTGGAGAGGACAGATTCCCTCTGTCATATACTGCCTGGAGGAAGGCAGATTTCACCTCCTCTGTGTAGTCGGCCGGGTGGGTCTAGAGGGTAATGAGAGTTTGCTGAAATTAAATAGTTTTAGCCT